ACGCAGTTGCGGTTTCGGGTTGGGTCGGAGGTCGACTTGTGCGACCTCACGTACATTTAGTACGGCTAACAATTCTACACTCTCTAGAAAGAAATCTAATGCAATTGATGATCAATAGATATCGAAGAATCGAACTTCTATGCCCCATCATTCCCTGCTAGTGAGTAGCAGGTGGTAACATTTGACATATGACGATAATCATTTATAACTTCTACAGTGGCAGTCGTAAGCAAAGCAACAGGGAGTGACAGTCCAGTCCAGTCTTCCTATGACGAATAATGGTCCTTGCCAATCGAGCGTCCAGATTATTATGTTGTCGGCGGGTTTTCTTGGCTCCCATCATTGCCTTTTCTGAGTTTCTTTTATGAGGTCTTCTCGGTCAAGCTGGGAAAGAGGAAATAAGAGGTCTCCTCTCGTATCATCGGCGAGAGACCTTAGTTTTCGAAAACATACCGGTTTCAAGTACATTTCAAAGGTCTGATTCCATAGTTCGGGGCTGTAATTTACCTGGCTCTTAGCGACGATATATTACCACCTAACCTCAGGGAACATTTCCAGCCAACACGCATCCATTGCTTACTTGAGGTTGTGCACATTGGTGCAGTTGATCATTCCCGCGGATAACCTGTTTCACATAGGTGTGACCCTGTGTGCGAAGAAGGTGGCCCGAACCTCCATGGTTCTGTTGGAGCTTAAAGCTATGACCCATTGTGTTTTCAGCACGAGATGCCGTAAACAAGTCTGCTTGGAGTCCTGATAGCCCTCTGATTATTTTAAAGGTCTCTTCGCAGTCGACTACGTTCCAGCGAAAAGAGAGTTAGGTCTCTTAATCGCTTCTCTTTTCCCAGCTACCATTCAAGTAGCAAGTCGTTGCACCTTCTCCAGGCAATTTGTATGGTTTCTGTAGTACGATGCACATGCCTGAGCACAGTATTCTGACTGGGGGCGAACTACTGCTTTGGAGATATATGCAAATACCTCTGGGTGTCAACATCCAAGGGCAGCACACAACCTGAAGATCTCACCGCGGGCCTTATTGGCTGCCTTCGGGCTTGAAGCTGTTCGTGGGAATGACTCCTAAGTCCTTAATTACATCTGTGTGCTGCAGTGTCAGCTGCCCGTCCCGAGCGGTATCGGCTCTTGTGGTTAAGAACTGGCACTTTTCGAGATTTAGTGGTAAGTCTCACTGGATCGACCATTGTGTAACCGCTTCTACGTCACGCTCTAGGTTTTCCCCGGCTACTTTCACATCGTCCGCAAACCTGAAACAAGGATTTTGGAGATCCTTGAGGCACCCCGCTTGTTACTCTTGCAGGTTCTCTCAGATAGTCACCAACCTTCACACAGAACGTGCGATGATTAAGGAACTGGACGACCCAATTTCTTACTGCCCCCTGTGATCCGACATCTTGTACCTTGCTGTCTAGGAGTTTATGCCTGACTGAATCGAAGGCTTTGCATAAATCGAGGTAGCAGACTTCGACCTGCTGACCTTCATCCAGCTTTTTTGTAACCTCATCCAAAAATCCGAATAGGTTAGTCAGCACGATTTTCTCTTGGTAAATGCATGCTGCGCTTTGGCCAACAGGTTGTGGGTGGTTAGGTGCTTACAAATTTATCCCCTGATGATCCGTTCCAAGAACACAGCGATTGTTGGTGGACGGTGGGTCTGACGCAGCTCGAGGACCTGAGACACCGTGAAAAATCGACCAGTACATCCACAGCCAGGCCGGCATCCGGCTTGCTGTTCACGGGTGTTGTTCTCTCTTAAGGGAGTCAGACGTCGAAGTATGACCGAGGCTAGCACTTTGGTAACGATCGGGATTAAACTTATCTCGCAATCGTTATATACATATATATATATCACTTGTCTGAGGACAGACTGTATGCCAGGCAAATCATGATACAGTGATCTTTATAAAAAAGAAAAAAACGTTCCATGATTGGCTTGTGGGCTGAATACTGCCAGGTTGCCCATGCCAAGCTGAAGGAATACCTTCTTGTGTCCAAATATTGTGCAGTACGGTAGTAATGGAGCTTAGGATGTTATCACTCGCATCTTGAGAAATGTGGGAGGGAGCACATCCGATTCTCCTGTCTTTCCTCGTTTCAGAGCCTGAATGCAAGACCGAACTTCTGCTTGCTTTTTTTTTTGGGGGGGGGGGGGGNTGAACTTTTCGCTGGAGCATTCTGCCCAGAGATCAAGTCGTCTATTCCTCTGTTTTGCTGCTGGCATGTCGAGATTTTGTCTTTTCTATCTATCAGGGCTACTGACACCTGAGATATCCAATGCCTCCGACGGGTTTGAGGCTGAGACCCATAAGCAAATTTTGCTGCGGAATGCATTGCTCACTTGATCCGATCCCACTGCTCATCCGTATCATCAGGCTGGGGCGCGCGTAGCCTACACACTAGCTCTGATTCATAGCGTACACAGATGGTGATGATGGGCTATACGAGTTTACTGAATTCGTCGCCGGCCAGTCAGTCGCAGATTGAACTGCATCAGAACTAATGCGTGCTCACACTCAATGCAGGTGGTCCAATAGGACCTGCAATTTTGCACTGAGCCACATCAACGGTAGCTTACTGCTGTGTGGTCGATTTGAGTTAGCGTACCAATTGAACTGAAACGCCACGTTGCCATCTGTCGTGAGTTGGTGCTAGATAGGAACAGATGATGGTCTGCACAGAACTGAGGTAGTCGATTGCCGTTATCTGTTCGTTGGCAGGGCAGAGCACAACTACCACCTAGGCGAGCTTCTGATGCGCTCAGTTTTCCAACTCGCGCGTTAAAGTCACCTGCAAGTACAACTATGTCGGAGCTTCGTCTCAACCGCATGAGATCGGTGAGTTGTTCGTAGGAAGCCTCCTTTTGGGTGTCAGAACTGCAGTTGGTCGGTGCGTACGCCGATATGGTGTTGCTTCCTTTCCGGACGCTTATTGAACCCTGGAGACGCACTGCACATAAAGAACTATTGACGGGGATCCAATCGATAAGAGAGGACAGCTCTGTTACTGAGTGCAATACCTACTCCGCGCTGACCTACCGAACGAGCTTCATCGTCGCCTCATGTGTGAAGAACGTATCTCGAGGACAGATCTGGCGTGCTCAAATGGCTTATAGTAGTAGTATCTTTGATTCGAGTCTCCGATATGCAGCAAACATCGATCCCTAAGGATTCCATTGTACGCGCCAGATAAGCTTGTTGACCCACCTATCCTCACGTTGAAAGCCCCCAAATTCAGTGATTGACGAGGCTTTAGAATCTGCAATTCGTTTCGTGGTACATCACTTACAGTGCTATTTGTAAAAGACCTTTGGCGAGCGACATCCAAGTTGTTTGAGGGACTTTTACAGGTTAGAAGAAGGGGCAAATGGAGAGGACTGGGTGCGGAAGACAAGGAATTAAACAAAGGTTGGGATATCTGAGCAGTAGCCCACTTATCACTACCCATCCCGCTCGATGCAATGGGCAGCGCGGTTCTGATTATCCTATGCGACGACGAATGCAGTATGGAATTATTTTTAGTTTGTGTATGCATTGGGGTTTGATGGACGGGTACCGCTAGGGTGTACAGCCACTAAGCAGGAGAATGCTTAGGGTTTTCGTCCAAAGCCTTTAGTTCTAACGAAAACCTAACCGCAAGACAGCGGTTAAGGCGGATTGGAGGCCCATTAACTTGGATCAATTACTCCTCCAATATGTTTTACGGACCGAGACGCCAACTCAAGTCGAACCCCAGCCTGGAGGACCAGGAGACTGGACTTTGTCTGACCTCCATCCATTTACCTTGCAAGCATGATAAGATCTTCTGGCTTGACAAAAGCCATCCTGTATAGCTCGTCTGGTCACAGAGGTGCACAAGCTATCACACCACGTCAAGGCACGATCTCGTCTTGATGGTTCAGTCTCGTCGTTGAAATATATGCTTTGCGACGATTTGTTCACTCATACTTTGTGTCCCTGTGAAACACACATTGTGTATAAAAGATACACGAAACGTTTCGGTGCTCGGTATCAATTTGGATAATTGTATCAAGTTCGTTAATGTTTGGCATGTAGCATACTGCGTGTATATCACCGGGAACCGGTAGAAATTGTCTAATCACCACCGACTGAAATACTCGATGTGTGCAACTGAGTAGACTTCTGTGGTAAAATGCTTCGAATCTATGACCGGGCAAAAATTGATGGGAAATGTCACCGCTGGATTGAGTGGGTCGTATTAGTCCTTATGCTTGGGGTTCGCAGTTTTTGGCCAATCCGTAATTGGGAACCCTAGGTATCAAACATTATAACCTTCCTGCATTCCTCTCCCTGGATGATCTGCTTATTTTTATTATCTCCAAAACCTCGCATCTGAATTTCAGTTTCCCATTAGAATTGTTATGGTTAGCCGTCATAAACCAACCATCGTTCGACCAGGTTGTCTCATTACGAATACATTTCAATATCAGAACCGTCTGCTTCTCCTACCGTGAGCAATTCACCTCCGCATAGAGAACGACCATTAACCTCTGTCTCCTTCAAGTTAACACATCATATGTATTCAAGTTGGAGAGATAGTGTGGATAACTTGCTGTCCGATTAATCTCGTTATTCTCTGTTGTGTTCTGTTTTCAGCGTACAAACGTCGAACATTTGCTGAATCTTCGTGCACCGTGTGTCTGGAACGCGTTCCAAAGCACTTGGTGATCAGTGTTGGCGAAAAGGTAAGTCTCCTCTTTCTTTCCTTTTTAAACACCCTGTCCTTTTGTTCTGAGCCATTCCGCTTTGTACTACTTGCCTGCTGAGGGTATTTTCAATTCGTACTTCATTTCAACCGCGTCCACCAAAACCTCATTCAAGAACTTAGAAATTTGCTTAGCATGACTGCTTTGTTCAAGTTTCGGATCAATAGGTGTGCGGAAAATGTCCGAGTGGATATAGACTGAACTCCCCCATGTGGGTGAACTACTTCACATCCGTTACTCGAAAAGTTCAGCGATCACGCAAACAACGATAAACAATTACTATAATAATGTAAGCACGGACGTCGATGAAGATCATGCTCTGTAACCTATTGAACATCTCAGTACTCCCTAGTTAGCACACTTGCTCATCCTTTCTCTCTTGTTCGACCTAACAATTACACCCAAAAGTTGACAACATTACCAAACAAATACGGGAAGAAAGGGTCACTAGTTACGTTCCCTTAATGGTGTTCTTTACCCTGGTGAAGCTAAATATTCACCTATGGAGCAAAACCAATGGAAAATGTATCATTATCTGCACTTTGATGGCAAGAATTTCCTCGACATCAATCGCTTCTTTACTTCTAGTTTTCTCAGCTGTCATTCGCACTGGTTCCAGCAGTTAGAATGATCACATATATAATGTTTATCTCAACCGTCATT